TGTGTGGCAATACCTTGGAGGAATCTAGAATTCTTGAGGAAGGGATTTAGAGGGGACTGGGACTGCTGGATTCCCTAGGACGGGGTGTGTGTGTGGATCCCTGCCTGGGAGGTGGTGTCAGGGGGAAGGGGCCACCTAGGCTCCCACTCTGAGCTCAGCACCTGTTTCTCCTAAAACACTGCCAGCTCCCCTGACCCGGCCAGGGCCCCCCTCTGTGCAGGGGAAGAGGGCCAGTTTCCTGCCCCATGGGACCTGCCCCCCTTCCCCAAACAATGGTGCTGTTGTCCCTAGCCCTCCCCACCCCTTCATCCTTCTGTGGCTCCCCACTTCCCTGTCCCGCTCTTTAGTTTGTCCCAAAGAACACCCCACTAGACCCAACCTCCTCCCCACTCTGCAATCCACTTCTCTGGTGGTCCTCTCTCCTTTCCAATTCCTCTTGCCCCGAATCCCCAACCCCCTTCCCTGTCGGTACCACTCCGTCTCTTACTGCATCTTTGTCTTGGTCTCTCTCTGTCTTGGTCTCTCTGTATATCTCTGCCTCTCGGTACCTCTCACCGTCCTCCCTCTCCCGCCCCACTATCTCTGTCACGTCCCCCTGCATCGGTGGGGTCTGGCACCTGCCTCTCCTCCAGCCCTTCCCTCCTGGCGAGCAGGTGTCTGGATCCCTGCAAAATGAGTTTATTAGATTACAATGGAGGTGGGGAGGGGACACGGGTGTTGTCAAGGCAGTCATAGAAAGGGGGCCGAGGAGGACCCTTCGGATCATGTATTTCAACCCTCACCGCCGGTTTCCAGTTGGGGAAACTGAGGCTCAGAGAGCTGCAGCAGATTCCAGAGTCCCCATGCTGGAGGCAGCAGCCTGGCAGGTGGTAGAGGGAAGCAACTGGAGGTGAGGCAGCGGAGGGATGGGGTGGTGTAGGAAAGACCCCCTGTCCCTTCCCATCTGCCAGGGCTCCCTTGTCCTCACCTCGCCTGCTGGGCGGGGTGCTGAAGTGTGGGAGCGGCGGGTCGGCCTGGCCATGTTTCCTGTTGGCATGGGCTTCGGCGGCCCCCCCCCCTCAGTGCCCGCTGCCCTCGCCTGGCCCCCCGGCCAGAGGAAGCCAGCCTGCCCTGACAGTCCGTGTGGCTCCTGGTCACTTCAAAGCTGTCTGCCTCTTCCACCCCCAAATCCAAGCCTGAGTGTTGTCCCCAAGAAATCCCCCCAACTCAATCCTCAAATCAGTGCCCTCCAACCAGCCCAATTCCACGTCCCTTACCCTAGACAGATCTCCAACCCCTCCTTTCCTGTTGAGCAATTCTGTCCCGTCCTCAAGCCGCCAGTTCTGACCCGTGTCCTTCATCTGCCCCCATCACTGCCCGGACCAGGGCTGGAATGTGCTGGGAACCTGCTCAGACCTGTCCTAGCCCCACTTGTTCTTTCCTTCCCCACTCACACTATCCTCAAAGTCAGCCCCTCTTCCCCTAAAAACCCTCTAAGTCACCTCTAAGGAACCGGGGCCCCAGCCTCTCCTCTCCTGGGACCCAGGAGTCCAGGCTACCATAAACCTACCTCTCCCTTATTTCCCAGACTAAATAGCCCATAGAGTCTGGGGAAGCTGAGCTTCTTAATGATGGAGATGGAGGGGGGAGGGGGGCGGTGCTTGTTTTCTTTTCCCACCCCCCCCATCCAGCCAGTTCTTTTGGTCTCTGCCCTTTGCCTCTGAGATACTGCGCAAACATTAGAGTTTAGATAAGGACCAAGGAGCTGCTGCCTACTGGAAGAAGTCAGCCTTTCTCCCCACCCTCCCTTCACTGAACCTGGGGTTACCTCTCCCCTAATCTGCTCAAGTATCTGACCAGCCACCTCCTGGCCTCCAGGGCTCCTGGACCTCCAACTGTCTAATTGCAGTACCTTCAAACTGACACTCTGTGACCCCTCTTCCCTTCCTTTTGCAGAGAGGGCCCCCAGCATTTACCTCCCTAGGTCCCAGGAGTCCAGCCCTCAGCCCCCTCCACTCTCAGACCCAGGGGTCTCCAGCCTCTACTCACTCAGAACCCGAGAGTCCTGGCCCCCAGGCCCCTCCTCCCTCAGACCCAGCAGTTTCAGCCCCCAGCCCCTCCTCCCTCAAGACTCGGGAGTCTCAGCCTCCAGCCTCCACTCACCAGGCACCCCCCGAACCATAGCATCTCCGCGTGCAGGACCATGAGTCCGATGCCGATTCCTGCCAGTGCCAGTGCCCAGCCTGCCAGACTCTTCTCCTGCTCCAGCAGATGCTTTCTCCGCCGCAGGGCCCCCAGGCCCGGCACCAGCTCCCCGCCCATGGCCCCCGGGGTCTTGGGGCTCAGCCAGCTTCCTGCCCAGAGTCCCCCACCTCGCAGCACACAAAGAGCAGCCACTATGGCTTGCAGGTCCCCGGCCTGCTCTGCTCCCTCGCTCTGGGCTCTTGCTTTGAGGCACAGCAGAGCCTGTGCCCTCTGGGGGGTGGTGACTGCTGGGCAGGGCGGGGAGGTGCTGGGGAGGCCCCTGGGAAGAGGGGAGGCTCCCCAACCCCCCTTCTCAGACTAAGGAGGGGCTGGGTGTGTCTTGGGGCAGAGCAAGGAAGAGGCGTGTGTCCACATGGATTAAGACACACACCAACACACAATGGGCTTTGTCATACACGACGGTCTGCAGCGTGTAATACACACCTACACTCAGCCACACCCGGACACCATGGAACACAGGGTGATAACACCCTCAAACACGGCATGGCCGGAGACAGAACCTATAACACCCATGGGCATACAACACAACCTACACTGAGTGACTCACAACTCCCGACAAGCTCTGAAACTCACAGCCACACCCAGACACCACACACATGATGCGACACACACTGGCACTTAGTGAGGCAGGCAGCGCCCCGTGGCACACAAGGCCACTTAAATATTGTCCACACGCAGGCACAAACACTGCAATCAAAGTTGGCACGACATCTTCTGACACAAACAGCCACACCCAGACGCCTCACACAGGATGATGCCCATTCGTAGCTACACAAACACAACATATACGGGTGTTCCACAAACACACAATCTGTATTGACCTCGCAATCCCCAAATGCCACACACAACATATCTGTGTGAACAAAGCACTCAGCCATCACACACCTGTGGAACAAAACACGACATGTGCAGACACACAGCAATTAGGGACACACCCATGGCAGTCTCCAATCACCCAGCATGTAGAGAAATGCACACTGACGTACATCACGGCACGTGGTGACTCAAGCATATATGCTCTTAGAATGATTCACAACACACATGGATTCACCCTGACAGACAATATACCCTGGTGCACAATGCCATTCATATATGCAGTCAGAGAACAAGATGACCGGATGCGCGTAGGAACAGACCTATAGGCACAGCGACACACACAGAAACCCAAGCGGCACATGCCCCATGTAAGACATTTTGATCTATTTTGGTGCATCACACAGGACACAACCAAGAAGGGTGCCCCCGGGGGAGGGGGGCTGGCCACAGGCTACATGGACCCTGATGCCCAAGAGCAACGTGAGCAGAGTAAAACATACACCGTCGCCTGGGACCAACACCATAAACCACACCTACACACAGCCTGGCACATGATACACTCCAACACAGGTGGCCACACAAACACAACATATACAGTGGAATACGCAAAGACACAATGACACAAAACACGTGCTACACTATTTCCCAGCACAAACACTGTGTCTCATGAACCAGTAGATGTGACCCACTGACACAGCCATCACTTAGTCCTGCAATGATACCACACACAGCACCGGGGAACGCCCTCTGGTACAATGTAATACACAGCCATGCAAACACAACACTCTGCGTGTGGGTCCCTAGTCTGTGTTCTTGGCAGGGAAAAGAGAGGCCCCAACATGGACACACACCTGGAAGGAGACACAGGGTCACATCACTGAGAGATACACAACTTTACACACACAACACCCATAAGGAAGAGACACAACATGCGCTGATGCACAGAACAGCAAATGCGATGCAGACTGATGCATGGTGACCCCCAGAGTGGCAACCATGCGGCATGTGACCACATGCAGCAGCACGGAAGTTACGCACGGGTCTGTACACCGTACATCTAGACACAGATCAAAACCCTCCACCAGCAACACACGAGGACTCACTGGCGAGGTGACACAAAACCCCTCTCACCGTGTGGTGGGTGGCCCTATGGACACCACTCTCTGGGGAAACACACAGACATAACCCCTCTCCCCTCCTGAGTTGTATGCCATGTAGGAACATGGTCCCTCCAGCCACAGGGCAATGAGACACACACAGACATGCTTGGCGTCACACCAACACAACCCACATGGACACACCCAGAGACACCAAACCGCACACACAGACACACCCGGTGACAAAAACACAACCTATGCTGGAGCCCGGCCCCATGGTGTGCATGTGATTCCCACTCGGGATGAGACGCGGTGGGGGGAGTGATGGAGACACATGCCTGTCTGCTTGGAGGAGATGCTGCAGCCGGGGGATTGCCAGGCTGCAGCCTGACCAGCAACCCCCCACCACCTCCCCTCCCTCTCGGCTCCCCCAGGCCTTGCCTCAGACTGCTGTCTTGGTCTCCCGCTCTGGAAGCCTTTCGGTTCATCTTTATCTCTTTCTCCGACTGTCTTTCTCTGTCTCTGTTTTCCTCTCCTTTATGCTTTTATCTCCGTTCTAAGTATCTTCTGGCTCTGTCTCTCTCTGTCCATTTCTCTGGTTCCATTTCTCTCTCTGGCTCTGCCTCTCTTTGTGTCCCTATGCCTCTCAGCATCTCTGTCTCTGTGTCTATCCCTGCATCCCACTGCTTTTAACATTTTTTTTATTGAAGTGTAGTTGATTTACAATGATTCAGATGTACAGCAAAGTAATTCAGTTATGTATATGTATATATAATATATATATTCTCTTTCAGATTCTGTTCCATTATGGTTATTACAAGATATTAAATGTAGTCCCCTGTGCTATACAGGTCCTTGTTGTTTATTTTATATACAGTAGTGTGTATCCGTTAATCCCAAATTCCCAATTTATCCCTCCCACCCTTTCCCCTTTGATAACCATAAGTTTGTTTTCTGTGTCTCTGAGTCTCTTTCTGTTTTGTAAATGAGTTCATTTGCACCCTTTTTTTTAGATTCCACATAGAAGTCAGATCCTATGATCTCACTGCTTTTCTATTTCACTCTCGCTACCTGTCCCTGTCCCTCTCTGTGTTCGTCGCAATCTGTGTCTCTGTTGCTCTCTGACTCTGTCTCCATCTCTGCCTGTGCTCTCTTTTCTGTCTCATCCTCTCTCTGCCTCTAGTGCTCTGTGTCTCTGGGCCTCTCTAAGCTCAGGGGCCAAAGGCCAGGGACACACAGACTGCGGCTGCCTGAGAGGGTCAGTGGCCACGGAACAGAGACCTCCAGCCCCAGGCCTTCCACAGCCTCTGTGCTCCAGTGCAGGCAACTGTGAAAAACTGAGGGGAGAGAGACAACCAGAGAGACCAGTGAATGCTGGAGCCAGAGGAGAGGGAGGGACAGAGACAGACAGAGAAGGAGGGGGAGAGAGGGGAGGGAGGAGGTTGGGGGAAGTTTTTACAAACTCAAAGAGCTGGAGACAGAAGAGACCTAGTGGTGAAGAGAAAGCAGGAGTCAGAATCAAGACAGGGAAGTTGGAGCAGAGGGAAATTTTGCCTCCAAAGAGACCACGACTAAAAGAGAAAAGCAGAAACTAGGCAGGGTGTGGGAGATGCCAGGATGGGAAGGGCACCTGCCTCCAAACGGAAGTTCTGGGCTATGGGGGTCAGTCGGTAGCACACTGCGCCAGAGCCAGCTCCCTGCAGCCCAGAGAGGGGGTTGGTGACTCAGGGCCCCAGCGCTTCCTGTGACTCACCTTTGGTCTCAACCCTGGAAGGGGGGCGTGGAGCGGGAGAGGGGTCTCTGTAAAAGACAGGGAGGGGGAGCACTAGAGGACCTCTCTGCCCAGAGGAGGGAGCAGGGCAGCTGCAAGGGACTTGGAGGGGCGGAGGGCTGGGGACCAGGATCCTGGGTCTGACGGGGGAGGGGCCGGGGACCAGGATCCTGGGTCTGAAGGGGGAGGGGCCGGGGACCAGGATCCTGGGTCTGACGGGGGAGGGGCCGGAGACCAGGATCCTGGGTCTGAGGGGGGAGGGGCCGGGCGCCTGGATCCTGGGTCTGAGGGAGGAGGGGGTGGACGCATACTCCTGGTCCAGGAAGACTAGGAAAACTGATTCCAAAATCCTTAGGACTTTTCCCTGGCCTCGTCCCAGCTGCCCCACCTTCATCCCAGCCCCATCTCCGGGCCTGGAATGGACCCAGATGCCTTGGAGCCCAGCCGGAAGGGGCCAAGGACAAAGAAAGAGCTGTTTAACTCGGCCTGGTGGTGGAGCGGGTGAAGAGGTAGTCTCATATGGAAAGGTCACTCATCACCCAGGGCTTGTGCAGGGAAGGGCGGGGCTCAGCCCAGGGGAAGACGTCCAGAAAGTCTGAGTGAGGCCTGTGGCGGCAAATCCTCCAACTGCTGTCTTTTGGATTTAGGCATTTGGAGGCTTCGGGGCATTGGGATACTGCCACCTGGTGCTGTTTGAGGGAACTGCAGGCTCTCTGCTTTTCCAGCCTAGTATCCAGCTATTGCGCACCTGCTGAGAGTCAGGTACTGCTCTACACGTTGGGGATACAGTAATAACAAAACAGACAAAATCCCTGCCCCCATGGAGCTTCCTGGCTAAAGGAGGGAGACCCTGTGGTTCTGTCAATCTCTCTCTCGCTTTTGCTTTGTCTCTGTGAGTCTGCTACTCTCTGTATCTCACTGGCCTTTCTTCTGAGTTTCTGTCTCCTGGTCTTTGTCCCCAGGTGCATGCCTCTCCGCTTTTATTTTTTTAATTTTTATTTGATTTGATTTTTTATTTTATTTTATTTTATTTTATTTTCGGTACGCGGGCCTCTCATTGTTGTGGCCTCTCCCGCTGCGGAGCACAGGCTCCAGACATGCAGGCTCAGCAGCCATGGCTCACGGGCCCAGCCGCTCTGCGTCATGTGAGATCTTCCCGGACGGGGGCACGAACCCGCGTCCCCTGCAACGGCAGGCGGACTCTCAACCACTGCGCTATCAGGGAAGCCCCGATTTTATTTTTAAAATAAATTTATTTATTTATTTTTGGCTGCATTGGGTCTTTGTTGCTGTGCGTGGGCTTTCTCTAGTTGCAGCGAGCAGGGGCTACTCTTTGTTGCGGTGTGTGGGCTTCTCATTGCAGTGGCTTCTCTTGTTGTGGAGCACGGGCTCTAGGCATGCAGGCTTCAGTAGCTGTGGCACGCGGGCTCAGTAGTTTTGGCTTATGGGCTCTAGAGGGCAGGTTCAGTAGTTGTGGTGCACGGGCTTAGTTGCTCCACGGCATGTAGGATCTTCCTGGACCAGGGCTCAAACCCGTGTCCCCTGCACTGGCAGGCGGACTCCCAACCACTGTGCCACCAGGGAAGCCCTCTGCTTTTAGTTTATCCTTTGTATCTTTGTGTTCCCAACCAATTAAAAATTATGTATTATATTATGTTAAGCTATTTATCTATCTATCTATCTATCTAGATATATATCTCGCAAGCTGGGTATCTAGAGACTTTGGGTCAATTGGGTTAAGCCTTTTTTTTAATTTAAAATTTA